TNNTNNTNNTNNTNNTNNTNNTNNTNNTNNTNNTNNTNNTNNTNNTNNTNNTATTACAGGAGGATAAACTAAAAAGGTACACATAAATTTGATTTCAATTCACCTATAAATCCCTATTTAGTTGCACATTTATAACTTTTTTTTAATTGCAATTATACTAACTTCAAGACTTATGAATGGTTGATTGGTGGTTATTTTTGTTATTAATTTCAATTGCATTGCTTTTTAGTTTATGATTCATTTATGAATGATTTATGTATAGTTTAATTTTTTTGAGTTTAGAATTCATTATGAATAGGTTATGTACAGTTTAATTATTAATATCATATCTTTATAAAAGTTTTCAAAAAATGTAGAGAACATGTAAAAGAAAAAAATAAATAATTGTTTACATAGTAATATCATGCTGTAATATTCAAGATGCAGAGGCTAGCAACTTGTCAACCGTCCAATGGGCCAATAGGATTTGCTTGTAGGTGACCCATTGTATTAAATGGCCATAAATGAGTAAAGCCCAATCATAAATGGGCCGACCCAAACTGTGGCATCGTGTGCACCACGCGTTGTCACGCTCCCCCAATGTTCGAGCTGAACTCCATTTCTATCCTACAAGCTGGAATCTCCCTTCCTTTTTAACAACACTCTTCAAGCTGATTGAGCTCAGAATTTGTCGTTTTTTCCAATCGGAAAATGCTGGGCCGTCTAGCTTCACGAAGCCTTCTGGAGATCCGTCAAGCTTACCGTCAGCTTCCCCAGGTTTTTCCGTTTCTCCATTTATTTTCGGATGCCATTTTTTTATTTCTTTCTCGTTCTCATTGCAAATGGTAATGGTGTTTTTTTCAGGCATCGAGGTCATTATCGACTGCGTTGAACTATGTGAGTTGTTGATTGTGTTTTAGTTTTCTAGGTGTGACAGCTGCCTGTGGATTTTATTATCATTTGATTTGTTGTTTTGGAAATGAAATTGATTGGATAAGTTTCTGAGGTGCAGCATATCGATGGTCCGGATAATAATCCAGACCTGCCATGGGAATTCACCGATTTGAACAAGGAAAAGGTTAGTTGATAGGCATTTTCAGCTAATTGAAAAGCTCTAGTTTGTTTTATTTGAACTTGTAATGCACTTGATTTGAGATTTCAGCAATCGGAGAGCTTGTTTCCACTAAATGTGCTTTTTTACTGATCTTTAGCTACTGTAAGGGAGGATTGGGGTTTGCTTTGTTGGCTTGTGAATTGTAGCTACCCTTGTTTGTTTCGACATATTTTTCTGTATTGCGATCATTGGCGATGTTCATGGTTTGAAATAGTTTATTTTCAAGTCCAGAAGTAAACTAGGTGCAATCATTTTTAATGAGTATGGCTATATTATTTACCGTGATATGATTTGAATGTCTGGCCGACTTTCACTCCGCGGTTCAGCGGTTGAAGCAAGTAGGATGATCTCTATTCTGTTTTAGTTATGATCCTTACCTTCTCTTTGTGATATGTTCTTATTTGAAATTGTTTGATCCATTTGAAAAAAAAAAAAAAAAAGTTTCAACTCTCTAGATAGTTTAACTTAAATGGCACTACATTGGTGAAATGTCCATTAACAGCTTCAACAATTGATGTTTACTCAGGTTTTCTGTGTCAATTCCCATTATTTTTTAAGGAAAATTGTAATGAAGTTTATGCTTCACAATATTTTAAGAATTGACAGTTGTTGTTTGGGTATGGGGTGGCTGTGGGTTGGTGGTGGTGGTTCGGAAGTTTATAACAGAGATTAATCTACGTTTTGGGTTGTTTAAGCCTGTAAACTGTGAAGAACCTCTCTGGTTCTATTATTTCTTAGCATATTACAGAAATATGGAACTGTTTGTATCTTAATTGTTTACGATTATTGTGTTGCCTGCTAGAATGCTTGTAGTTACAGTGTTCGCTTCCTGTTGTCTCCGAATGACTAATATCTGAACATGGTCCATAAATGGACGTTCTCAACACTTTTAATGAGAGATTGGCAGTGAAGTTGCTAGTACATGGCTTTTCAGTGTTCTCTATTAAGCAATAGGTCAAGGTGTGAGATGGCCAAATAAATTTGTTGTATGGAATCAAAGTGAATGATTCTCTTGTTATATCTTATTAAAACTTTGAATTATAAATAATCTGAAACTTTTCCGCACTTTGTGGTAGGCTAAGGAGATATTATCACACTATCCATCCAACTATAAGCAATCTGCTGTCATTCCTTTGCTCGATCTTGCACAACAGCAGAATGGAGGGTGGCTTCCCGTTTCAGCAATGAATCATGTATGTTAATTTCACCTTTTAATATTCTTTTGTATTGAATACATTTTTTAATGTGTATAAGTCTGAGTAGGATAGCACCCATAGAGATCAGTTGCGGAAGCTTGAATAAGAGAGCTTCCATGCTTGACACTTGTCTAGTTAAGCTGCAAATTCATTTTTTTTTATTTTTTTGTTTTAATTTTGGGATATCCTTTTAAGAAATTGTCAAAGATTCGTGCACACTGATAAAATCTCAATAACCCGTTACTTTGAAAGACTAAAGATGACCACCATAAGTAATAGCAACTTTTTGCTTATATACTAGACTGTAAACCATTGTTGCAGAAAGAATGACAAAATTTATAAAAGAAGTGCTCAACAAATATTTTGTGAATCTCATCCCGGTGATTCTGGCCTTTTGCTTCATCAATATGGACATAGTAACTGCATTTCAGTAAAAAGACTCTTTCAGAACAAAACCAAAATCAGATTGGGTGTTCGTTTCTTCCTAGAAGCTGATTGAGCTGACTTCTGTACACATGTTCTGAGAGAAAATCTCTGAAATTGCTCCAGTGAGACAGTTTTGTTTGCCACCTTAGGTCTGCCACGTACATTATTGAAGATCATTGCTAACTATATAACATGCATTTAAATTGCCTTGACCCCTAAGCAGCTTGTGTACTTCATGTTCCACTTAAGGTTGATATGTTCACTTGTTAGTGTGCCAGTTTAACTCAACCCTATCAGAGAAGAAACTAGTGTTTTTCACTGCACAATTGAGTCAGTCATCTTATGAAACTCTTTCATTTGTCTACTAAAATATATTGGCTGTGTGAGGTCTAATGATTGGTCTCATGGCTTACAGGATATTCTGTCTCTTACGTGATGCTTCAATATATAGTTATTAATTTGATTATCTTATAAATAATATTTAACCAAGCTGTTTGTTGTTTCTAACCAATAATCATGCAACTTTTTCTGATTTATTACAGGTTGCTAAAGTCATTGAAGTTGCTCCGATTCGTGTATATGAGGTGGCAACCTTTTATTCGATGTTCAACCGAACAAAGGTAGTTATTCACTTATTCTGCATTGTGTTTTTTGTTACACATTAGACATGTTCTTTTCTTTTTTCTTTGTTTTTCCTCATTAATTAAGCTAATTTATGGCCATTAAAGGTTGGAAAATACCATCTTTTGGTATGCGGTACAACTCCTTGCATGATACGCGGTTCAAGAGAAATTGAAGAAGCATTGCTGAACCACTTGGGAGTAAAGCGCAATGGTACGAATCTTGTTTGATATTTATGTTTAATGGGTTGTTTTGGTTTGGAAGAAACAGAAGTGAAGAGAACCTGTTATGTTTCATTTTGCAGAAGTTACTAAGGATGGCTTGTTTTCTGTTGGAGAAATGGAGTGTATGGTGAGTCTTCCCCCTGAGATTATCTTTCTGCAATAAGAATTCCCTTCACTTTTTTTCAGTCTTTACACCTCTACTACTATTCTCATTGAGCTGCTAATGGATAGTAAGAAATTTTGTTGCTGTAATACCGGTAGATATCATTTTGCAATAATGCTTGCTGGACTCGAATTGTGTTTTAGCTATATATTCCAAACGACAAGTTCTTTCCTTAGGCCTAAATTTTGAGAATTGATTGTGAAAAACTTAGATTCGAGTCATATGCAATAAAGTAGCGTTTACATTTTTCTCTTAGATGGCAATAATGGGATGAGAATGTTCTGCTGCACAGTACTCGGCTTATTGCTAATTTGCTACTAATGATTCATCAGGAGTATTTGAACTGCAATATGAGATTCATCTTTCTACTTTTGCCCTATTTCCTTATATTTCAAGCTCACTGGTTCCCAAAATTTCGAAGTCTATTTATTTTGAATTTCAGAAATAATGATGTGATTTATTGTTGTTTTTTTCTTAGGGATGTTGCGTAAATGCTCCAATGATCACAGTTGCTGACTACTCAAATGGATCTGAGGGTTACACCTATAATTATTACGTGAGTTCCATATTTTTTCGAATTTCGAAACAAACTATAGTTTCATCTTGTTGTGCCGTTAAATAATAAAGAAATCAAGCGGTTCTCTTCCGAATGTCTTAGGAAGATGTCACTCCAAAACGAGTTGTTGAGATTGTTGAGGCTTTGAGGAGAGGGGAAAAGCCACCGGTAAGACAACATTTGCGGGTACTTCGACTGTTAGTGTTTACTGTTTATCTAGTCATTCTTTTTATTATCGTACATTTTTTTTTCTTTTTCTTTTTTCTTTTTCTTTTTTCTTTGTTATATTTAACAGCGTGGCACACAAAATCCGAAACGCGTCAATTCTGGGCCAGAAGGTGGGAACACTACATTGTTAGGTGAGCCCAAGGCTCCTCCATGTCGAGATCTTGATGCCTGCTGAACACCGTAATTTTTTTACAACCTATAGTTGTCCCTAATAATGATGAAAAAACTTGTTTGTAAAACATGGATAACTCGAACAATTTTCAGATTTTTTTTTTTCTTTTCGTTTTATGTTCTTTGGCTCTAACATGAATGATATTGTTGGACTTTGAGCTGAGTTGGTTGATTTTGCATCAGGATATAATTCTTGTGTCCATCACATCAAAGTCTTGAATGCATTGTAATTTGCAAATTCTAGCTTGTGTAATTGGTACAATTTCGTATTGGTTTGATCCACGATTACATGCATGCGCCAGTAAGGTACTTTTGAAGGTAAATTGCTATGAGAGAGAGTAAGAAAGCAAGAGCGCAAAAGCGGGTTAACCCTTTTATGTCTTTCAAAAATGGTCCATGTAGAAAATGGGTCTGTTGTTAATCCAAACATTTGCTTCTCTATCATTTATTTGTTTTTATTATTTACTTGTAAGTTTATATTGTGTATATATATATTCTTTTTGGATATCCTTCGTTTAAATTATTTGAGTGAATAGTCATTTAAACTATTGTCCACGAATTATTTAACTAAACTTTTGGTGGAAAATGTTTATATTTGTTATTCAAAGTCGGTCAATATTTCGTTTCAATACCCAAAGTTTGAGAAATGCATCACATTACTCTGCTGCGATTTCACGTTCAAAACAAAGGTATTTAGTTCGAAACATTTCTCAAACTTTGGATAAAAAATTGGCGTACTTTCTCAAATTTTGGGTACTGTGAGAATCCACTCTGGTTGTTATTATGATACCAAATGCGAAATCAAGGCTTGAATATACACTACAAGAGGATGTGAATTTTGCTACTGAAACACTATAAAAACCTGGTGAAGCTTTTCAACTTTTAAGCACACGGGGTTTTTGATACGTAGAGAAGTTTCCATTACGATTATTTGGCCCTTGGTCAAATTTCATGTCGTGAAAATCTTCATGGGAGATATATTGAAGCATTGAAAAAGAAGTGGCCGGAAAATATTGCCAATTGAAGACTTAGCCATAATGGGCCACTAACGGAAAATCATTTTCACGATTGGAAAGAGTTGGAACTTAGCCATAATGGGCCACTATTGATGTCCAAATCAAGAGCAGAACTAATGTTACAAGGTTAATGGAAAATGAATAATCTATGCTCAAGTAACAAATACTTTGGTTTTCAAATTTATTTGAATTATAATTGTACTTCTAAAAAAACTATTTCATAGTTTAATTTTAGTTAATACCTAACTCAGCTCTTGTATAAAGTTACAGGATCAGATATGTGCCAGCCATCATATATGTATCAATCAGTTCAACACTCTTATAAAGAATGAAAGGTACCACTTGAATTACAAGCTCGTGGTATCTAATTAAGCTAAAGTAGAAGCTATGGAAGCTCAAATTATGCTAACTTCTAACATATACAATTTTCACTTCACGAGAATGCAACAAAATAGCAATTTTGGCCGAGTCTAAAGACAATGAATTGCATTTTTGGTGGCGTTGTATAAATGTGAAATACTTGGTCGTATAAGTACTGTGGAGAAATTTTAAAAGTAGTTCTGTAAAGCTAGGTATATTGATGCAGTTCCACTTGCATTCAATAATTCATACTTTTTAAAATTGACCAATTTTGACCAGAAACCCAAATTTCACCAGAAAAATTAATGGGATTTGTGGTGTCAGTTTCCGGGGCAAAATTTGGATTTCTGTTCGACATTGTCCTCCAATTGGTCAATTTCAACAATTATGACAAATTATTGATTAACTGGATTTGAATCCGACTGCTTTTGGTACATTCTAATTTACGAAACTGCTTTTGAAATTTCATCAAGTATCTTATGTGTGTGTGTGCGCGTGTGTGTGTGTATAGAGAGAGAGAGAGGGCAAATAAAAAA